GGTAGTAATCAAGGCTAAAGAAGTAAATAGGCTTACGAGGATCACAATTTCATTATTTTACCATTATGGAATGTAATACGTTACGTTCACCTTTATAATTTACATCGTTTATTAAAATCTTGCAGAAAAGATCTTACTTATACTGTCAATATAAAAATGGATCTTGACAATTAGTTTGATAAAATAAATTCAAGTTGAATACAAAGTGTGGGTTCGTATTATAGTTACAAACGTAGATAATAATAACACGCACAATGACGAAAAAGTCTGCTCCCATTCGCAGAACCGTTGGTCCGCCTTAATAAACATTGCTTCAAAGTAGATCTGCTTGGAAGCAATAAGCTAATTTAAGGAAACAGATTTGAATTTCCTTACGAATCGTAAAACCGCGAATGAAAAGATGACTCACAAATCCGGTCAAATCAAAGTAATTTAAAAAAAAAAACATTGAATTAATGGTCTGATTATTTTAGAGACTTATTGAGTATTATTGTTGGGAATATTAGGTTAGGTTGTTCAATATCATCACAATTTTTTTGGCCTGTTTCGCAGAGTTTTGGCAAGGAACTACTATGATATACAATAAATTTTTGTCACGTATTTCTTTAACATTCCGTGTCCTGTCCATTGGTACGATTGCTGATGCTACCAATGGTACCTATTTCGTTCCCTATAATATATTTACTATAACAGTTAAACTTATTAGGCATTTATTTATGTAGTACGCACAGACGTAAACGTAAACACTGATACACGCGTATTTAGGTGCTTACAAGGATCGTAATTATTATCCGTTCTAGAAAACACAGGCTAGACGTCGAAGCTTCAGTTCTCTAAAAGCGTGTTGGGAAAGAACCTTCGGTAAAAAGGGGCAACGTAATTTGGCTTTTTATTGAAAGAAGATAAACAAAGCAAAAATACGGGGACTTCTCTTCTGTGTAGAGTTCCCCAAAGGGGTTCGTTAATTGATATTGGCGCTATGTAAAATTGAAAGCCACACGCATTTAATCATAACTGCTCCGCTCCGTGTTGTTCATACGATACTTACTTGAATTACTATAATAATAAGTAGTTTCCCTATAATCAAAACGTAGTTGTTTTATAATATCGTTTTTAAGGAGTCTTTAAATAGATCTGTTGAGCAAAGCGATCGAATACCGCTACCCCTTCTATCGCTACTGCTGTATGTCTATGTACATATAAAAGCGCGCTACTGCCGCCGCTAGCGTTTATGATACTGTCTGCAATTCAGAAAGATGCACTGAAGCACCAATCTAGTACCGTAGTTGAGGCTATCTAAAGCGACCATCTTCACGATCGAACGTGACATCGTCCGTTACAAACTTCAGCAATGTATTGCTGCAGCGAACGAAGGGCAGCTAAATATTACACGCCCTGGATGCCCTGGTGTCCGGATAACCGGAGGCAACGTGGCCTAAGCTAAATAATAGCGAAAGCACACCGTACATGCTGTTTTATATGTTGCTCATGCCATTCAAGCACGTAAAAAGGGCCTGTCGCTACGTGAATGATGTACAGTGATCCTCTCCTTGAATCTCACCGGTAGACTCATGCCTGCCGTATTTGTTAGGCCTTTCTCGTGCTTCTATATATATGAGCTCAGGATCAGCACTTATGAAAAAGTGCCCACTATACATGTCATCTATTGCTGTAATAGTTCATATATAACTATTTTATACTAGGTAGTGATGGCATCAACCTAGTGCAAGAATGATGGAAGACCCAACCACTCGCTATTCACACATAATAATAATAATATATATTGTTTAGTAATAATTAATAACACTATGTATATATTGTTATAAACAATATATCACGCATAATATATAACAGAGATTAGCTTAGTGGATTTAATGAACATTTTTTCATCACTGAATGCTGAACTACCTTTGTTGTTATAACTCTATCATTTTGGCACGAGTTGACATCACTGACTTGTGCGCACTTGCCGAACTATGCTCGCATACTATTATCAATATGAATTCATCAAAAAAGCAAACGATGCTAAGGATCGCTTAGCGAAAACTATTCGACCGAGCCGTAATAGTTATTGGTTCTCGGAAGAGGAGAAACAACTTTGGCTAGCTACTATTCGTTACATGACATTTATGACCTACACAAAAAGCGACGAATTTTCTAAAAAGTAGAGTTCACTTCGCAAAGAGGCCCGGGCATATTTAAAAGGTCCCATATTCCTAAAGGTTTGAGATTTGCTAGCAACGAAACAAGGCCCATGAAATGGCGGTCTTTTTAAATTCTTTCGAGAAATAACTAGTAAGGGAATTTTGCCAGGCCTTATATCTCTTATTAAGTTAAGATGTAGATGATCTGCTATATGGTTTGAATGTTTGTCTCTCTTGCTGTTTACTTTTCACGTAACTTCATGAAAGCGCTGCCTTACCCCTATAACTTGGTTGCTATTTCACTACGCAGTAAAGCCACTTTTATGTCGAATTTAGGCTCTCGAAGCAGAAGAAGCCTACTCTATTTTGTCTCTTGCAGACCTCAAACGGCTGTCGAAGCAGCACGTGATATTTGCGCCAAGTTATGTGAATTTGAGTGCCTGAAAAACTATTTGCTAAGTTCATAGGATCTTAGCACTCGAAGACGCGCCTCTGTCCCGGTCAGTTACTTGGTTTTGGAGTGGGACGATTAGTCGATATTAGATACCGTAGTCAAATAGCTACTTCACAACTGACATGCGGCTTAAATCTACGGGGCTTGTTCAAAAATTAGGAGCCTGAAGCCCCCGTTATTTGTAACACAAGCACTCATTGTATCTCTAGTCACAATGACTGCTTTCTACGTGAAATTATCAGCGATGACGACAAGTAATGTGTCTATGTGGGTAACAGTGAAAGGAAAACTACTTGTTTACTAGTGTTAGGTACAGGTTGTAATTTAGATTCAATTCCACGTATAGCCATCTGATGGAATGCCTAATAGCGAGAAAAACTTGTAACTTCGAGAGGTTAATAATAATTAACTATTTTCAAACACACTTCAAGATCATATCTGAATAGGTCTGTTTCAGAATTGTTTTAAAGGCATGCATGGTATACGTATACACTTCATAAGTAACAGCCCTTCTCAAACTTTTCGTTATCATTTCTGTAAACAGTGGCGAGTAGTCAGATGCCCCTCTCTCCGACCACCATACGCCCTCATTCAATACAGTCTTCTATAAAGCGCACATGTTTGCTGCCAAGCGCCAATCTTCATGCACTATCAGTGGTAAGTGGAATTCTGCTTATTTCAATAGCCCGTTTACGTACTTATGCGCCTATACTCATTATGACAAGTCGGTATTAGGCTCAGACAGACAATGTAATGGTAGCCAGCGAAACGTAGCAAAAGCCAACAGAAAACAGTGAAGCGTCAAAACGAAAATAATAGGTTCCTGCTCTGAAACTGCCACAGCACGTATGGCCGTGTACTTGTAGAACAGTTTAATCATCTTAGATAATTAAATGCTCTTCATATGTGGTCGAAGTTTTCAGCAAAGATTCAATGCGTTATAATTGGTAGTGGACAAGGTCTTAGACGCAATGTATTATCGTTTTGTATTATGGTTCATAGGCGTTTATTTATGATTTACCATTGAGCTAGGCGAGTGTTATCTCTGAGCAGTTTCAGCTGACCATTGCCGAAAGTTGAATTGTTACGCAGCCGCGCCGAATACCCACATAGTTCAAATAGACGCGCAGTGCAGATCTGGTTAACGAATAGATTTAGTTCGCTCTTATGAAATTTGGCAGAATGATCTTGGCTGGGGAAGATTTCAGCCAGGCGGGAGAAGCTCTTGAAGCCAGTTAGTACGGTGAACAATAATCTGGTCATCAAATATAGCCATCTCAGGTTTAGATCTTTTTTCATCAATCACTGTTTGCGTCAATGTGAGAAATGCGTATAGCAAATACGTACTGGTTTTCATTAACACTGGAAAAATGTAGCAGATCAGATTCAATAATGGTAAATCAAGGCATGGTTTTTGTAGTGTGTGTGTGTGTATTGAAATTGGCTGCGAAATTATGTACCAATTATATGGAGCGGCATTTCAGGCCTTTCTTCCACCTGACAACAACGGCAATAAGAGCTTTCCTTGAGCTTTCAAATAAAAATATGAACATATGGTAGCAAGAAGGATATTGCCTCGTTCTGCTAGCTCAGATTCTGTTGGATTATGTTTCTGGTCTTTGTCATACTACACGAATCGAATAACTTATGTAGTTGTTGTCCTGCGTCTTTGCTTCGCCACCAGCTAACTTGAATTTCCTGTTGCGTAAAGCAAGATCAAGGACAGCCGATAAACACAAACGCGTATAACAGGTTGCAACATTTTTTCTTCAAGTCGCATAGGGGCAAATAAGTGTGGAGTCGCTTCTGACGAGAATGACTTGTGTAGCTGTGCTCATAGAATCTTCACGAGAGACTACCACTTATGACTTCGCTATCGAATGGTTGTCGTTTATACTTCTGTGTTTCGCATACTGATTCAACGATCACCATTTCTATATCACGTCATAATTCTGATTGCGCGTGCTGCCCCTCATTCAAGGCCAAAAATTGCACACAAGCCTACAGATACACCATACGTATACATCGATGGATGTGTACGTGTGCGTGTGTACAATTTTAACTGCACCACCTCTTGCATATGTGGCAGAAAGTCTTATTCTGCCTCTTACCTTACTGTATTAAAAATACAATTTACGCACCATCGACTATCTATTATATAGATCCTATATATTCATATTCAAACAGAGATGACATTTTTCAGGAACGTTTTTGCGTTAGATGCTCCATTTAGCTTTACCGATTTAGCTGTAGCTCTATTGTTCGATTTAAAAACTAGAAATGTCTATATATATATATATATATATATACATATATATATATTTTAAAGACCCAATAATCCACATCTTTAAGTAAGTGTCTCGTAAGGGTTTAGGAACATTCTTTTGCACCGTTCAATAGCGTAGTTTACTGGCAGATAGTGAACTTTTTTATTTTTCCTGTACAAGCACGATCAACAACACACAGTCATAAAAATAGCTCTTCTCTAAGTAAATCTCGTTGAGTGTGCGATAGAAAAGACGGTCTATAGCGAAATATGTACTAGCAATGTGAAATTTCGAAAAAAATGGCTTAAATGGAAAAAAAACAGGCGTTTTTTTTAATAGATCTTATAGTTCTTGCTTCTATATAGAATTTGTCAAACTCAAACTCCTCTGCGTTAAAATAATAAATAAATGTACTATGTATTTGTATTTTGAAAAACACATTGTGAGATGTCCGTTGCTTGACACTAGTCTTGCTGGTTTTGTTTTACAGGGAGATCGTGGTAAGTTTATTTGCTCACACAGAAGCAAATGTCAACAGCATTAAAGAGTTTTCGGCTACAACTTCATCTCTGTATTTGTATATGTTTCTCCTGCCACTTAACATACTGGTTAACTTACAGTCGAGTAGGCACTACTTTGATTTAATATTCTGTTCCATGTCTGGTAGTTAACCGTATTTTATCAATAGCGATTAATAATGTTTTGAAAGTATTAAGGTGGTATCGTGGCCATGACTGTTGTTCATTCTCCTCTATTTCTGGTAAGACATATAAGAAAAAGTAAGTGTGAAAATTATGTCTATAAGCCGTTTGACACTTTGCAAGCACAGATGAAAGCATGCACATTATAAAAGAAACTTTAATTAATGAAGTTATAATGTGCCGTTCTTTCAGATGTGCGATAACCCTTGTATAGCTTAAAATGCAGGCTAGGATCACTGTGGTGTGTGTGGCATTCGTTGGGTCCGTATTGGCGTTCAAGGATGGAGCCCCTGGAAGCGTTTGCTTGAGTGGCGTCCCGAAGCACAAGGTTGACCCTCAGCCTCTTTCCACAAACCCTTATAAAGTGGATGTTCAAAAAGAGGGTGCCAATTATGCAGGTAGACACGTCTTCATATCCATAGGGTTACATGCACCTGAAGGCATTTGCGTAAAACCATTATCATATTCCTTTAACGCTCGCCAACCTCTTTCGTACTTGATATCTTTTCCCGAAGATAATGGTTTTAATCAATAAATCGACGAACCTAAAAAGGAACAAGGAATATATGAAATAGACAGTTGATAATACTAAATAGATCCAGTTTCGACGGAGCCCAGAACTAGGGACAGAGGAACGTATGTATTAAGTCATTACTACAGCTAATAACGCGAGTTTAGTCTCTCTCGTATTTCAATGCGACAAATGCTTTACTGCGGGGGTCACACATTAGATTAAAATGGATAATTATTCCGTGAACCCAGTACTTAATTCTAACATATTGCATACTTCATTGTTTCGTATATCACCTTAGATGTAACATAGTTCGGAACATATAATATTTCTCCTGATTCCAGTTACCATCTCCGGCGCAGAATTCAAGGGTTTTCTAATAACGGCCCGCAAAGTCGGTGACGATTCGATTGTACCGGGCACTTTCTCCTCAAGTGCACCTAATGTAAAAACTGTCGACTGCAAGGATGTTGGAGCAGCAGTAAGTACAAAATGGAAATATCGCAATACTATACGTATTTGTATAGACATCAAATGAAAAGTTGAGTACGCCCCTTTGGAGGCTGTATGCACTATATCACACTGTGAGAAGTTTGGTTGCTTGCGATAAGATACTATTTCGTACGCGGATGATGACCATTGTATTTTGGCTGGATTGCATTAGTAGGATAGGCTGAATTCATATTGAAGTTGTAAATCCCTTTTCGCCTAAAAGCATTCTTTGATATTCGTGATCAGTAAAAAAAAGTTGCTGTCAATGTTCATGGTAAAAATCGGTTAAAAGCTAATTGCTAAAATTGGCGTATGTCCTCTTCACAGTCGGGAGTGACACACTCGGACAATAGCGTCAAGGATTCCGTAAAGGTCACCTTCACGCCTGCAGCTGGCTCTGATGATCTGCTATATTTTAGCGCTACGGTGGCAAAAACCGTCCACGAATTCTGGGTCGGTATTAAAAGTCCCATCCTTTAATTGCCGACATAATCACTCTACCTAAGGAAAACACGTGATTGCACGTCCTTCACAAAATTTAAGGTGATATCTAGTAGAACCCTACAGGGATTGCTATATTACATGCAGAATAATTGCATTCCATTACATAAAAGCACGTCACAATAATCGAAAAAAAGATTTCTGGACATGCAACATAGATCTAAAACTAGGACACTTTTGTTAGAGAGCTGAAAAAAAATGGTTACTAATTGACCAAATGCGAACGCTTTGCATATCACCCGTTTATGCTAGATGCATAAAAGCAAAAATAATTGGCGTCAATTTTTAGGATTATATAATTACGTTTAGCACTTTGCTAGCCAAACCCAAGTGGTTTTAGATCGCGAAATGTTGTTTTCAACGGAGAAGTGTACACAAGTGTTGTGTATTCTGGCTCTGGATGGAACCAGTAGAAGCCATACGGGCTTGAGTTATAACGGCATTTGACGGAGTGATACGAAGGAGTTTGCTGGACAATCTAATAAGGCCAAACGATCTAAGAGCTGACTCTACACGATTCTACACTAATAAGAAATACCATTCTGGAATAAATGTTCACTAACGTAAAATGCGAGACTGATTTATTTTTCACTTACGCATTACTGCAATGTTTGTTTTCAATTGAGGATATGAAGACTAATTTACTATGTACGAATATTACTAGGTACGATATCCGCTAGAATGACCCTTTAATAGGTACCTTGTATGGGTATCTATCAGCGATTCCAAGCAATTCATCGTATTTAATCCAACCGTAGAAGTCGTCAATGATGACAGCCTTATAGTTCGAGTAATCGTACCACCACTCTCCCCTACTTTTATCGTAAATTTCATCTTTTTAAACCAGCTCCGTGGCGCATTTGCGAACGCCATAGAATTTGCCTGTGCTGGGCTAACCCCATACAATGACGAGTTTGGTCCTATGGTTTCGTTTTGATCTAATTCTAAGTTGATTTGCTAGATCACGATTTCCTCGGTTGTAGTTGATAAAGGCCGTAGGGTGAGTGTCAGCAATGTGTTGAACTGGGTCATCACGAGGTTGTAGCAGAATATCGACGACGTTGATCCTTCTTGAGATAGATGTTTATGTTCTTCATAACGGTTTTCTTTTGTACAATAGTTTCTATTTTGTTTTTTAACTTCAATGTGTACAAGTTTTGTGAGGTATCTTTTATGAGCTTCTATTGTTCTTGATTTAATGGAAGCTGCGTATCCGTATAGGTGTTCTAGTAGACGGAGCTTTTTCAAACCCCCATATTATATATCTCCAGTGTTTTGCATTCTCATGTAGCACTTTTAGATCATTCACAGTATAGCATCCAAGCAATTCGTAGGCATCTCATAGTTGCCCGGATCAGTATTATTATCGGCAATTTCCCGACACCCATGTATTTATATGTTGAGCCCCACAGAGTTGGGCTTAGCTTTTGTCACTTTTTGCTTTTGATTTTTTAGCTTGTTTCCTTGGCGTATGCGCTTTCTCCCTTTTGGTAATCTTGCTTCTTATTTTAAGTGGTACTTGGGTGATAGTAGAGAGACACAAGAGTTAAGGAAGAAGAGGAAGCAGATAGAGTTTGAGATAGCATATTCGCAACGAAGATTGAAAACGATCAGACAACAACTAGCAGGTACACTATCGAATGAGACAAGACATGCCAAGTGATATCACTACTATTTAAATGTTCGAGGGAATGCGCGATCGACAGGCGGGCAGATATTGAACTTGAACCAGTCTAATCGAAAGCATCTATCTTATCGTCCATCTAAAAGAAGAAGTGGAGTGAGGTTAGCAGTTCAGGATTTTATTGAGCACGGAGGGCCTGCTTTGTTAGCAGCAGCATAATCAAGTGTTGGAGCTGGATCCTTTCGACAGTTTATCTACGGACATCCGAGTTATTAATAGGGCACATAGCCGGCTACGTACTCGAACCATTAATTGATAGAGGAGGTGTTATCGTTTTCGTTTGAAGGGTTATAGGTTCAGGCGTACCCTCGGTTTGGGGCTAGTACATAAGACGGTTTCTTACTAATACGACAGATCATTGAATCCTAGCACGCCTGGAATTATAACAACGTTAGATCCCAATGAAGGAATTCATAAGTTTGTGTTTTCAACTAATGTTCTTCAAACCTCGGTGACTTGAGAAGCGAACTAGTCTTTTTCTCTGTTTACGAATAATTTGTTTTGAAGCATTGATAACTCGAATCGAATTGACAAAGAGAACGTTAACAGTAATTAGCCCCTGAAACATTGTGGGATGAATCTGTCGAAATAAAATGCTCTCACCTGTTTTGTGACCTGAAATTCAGGTTCATATCGCTTTGAATTATGACATCAATTGGCAAGCGAACAAAACCTAACCAACACCTAGCGACGTATAGCCGAAAGATATAAGACAACCAACTATTTTGAGCGGAATTGTAATACATTGCGACGGCGATGCAACGTAGAATATTTCAATAAATTTAATATATTTTAAGAGTGAAAGAGTAATGGTCAACTATCAAATACCAACCACAGATAGTGATTATGTCCGAAAACGTACATTAGCTAAATACATACATATATATAAGAATAATTTAAGCCCATTTTCTTGATTTCGCGTTTTATTTATAAGCAACTATTGCATATTTTTTTTAATATATATTTTAATACACTATTAACGTAAGCCTACATAAATTATTCAGTTTTTTAAAAAGACTATTTCTTAAAATTTACAAACGACAGCACGTATTTCTATATTGATACGTAAAGCTACTATTATTATTATTATTATGAAATATAACTTCTAAAAGTATGAGAGTCTACGAAATACCGACTAGGTTGACAAAAAAAAAATACTAACCTGTGGAAAACGGGAACAGTTCTTAAATTATAATAGATAAGCAAGGTTTTGCGCTATTTCATATAAAGCATATAAAGTAGGATTTCATCGGCAGTCATCACCGGAATCGTTGGAAGGTAGTTTCTGGTAAACAGTGTAATGAATCGTTTACTGGCAATTTTTCCCAGTTAAACTTGAATTACACCTAGTATTCAAGTAAGACATCCTCGTTCCCTGCTTATGCTAACTTTTCGTTATCGCAGCTTTTAACAGTCATTTACGAATACATTGATAAGCTTCTTGGTTAGTCCAATAGATTCGAGATGGTACGGAAATGCTCTAGTATGTTTTGTTCTACTAGATCTGATAAAATCGCTAAATATTTATACAGTAAATTGTGATTCGTAGCTATCGCTGTTCCCGAACTGAGAGGGCGCTTTCGGCAGTGATCTTCTTGTTGACGTATTTTCTCGGAATGTACTTACAATAGTCGCTTCAATAGACCTTCACCACAATTAGTAATGGTCTCGTTCTTTTGAACGGGCAATATTTAAATGCACTCGCTAGGTGGTAAACTGACAGTGAGCCAATTTTTAACTAATTTTTTGTTTCTAGCTTGTTGTTGTTCAGTCAATTCGTTGTCAATATGGTGTTTCCAATACCTGAACCAATTCGTGACTAATTTATGTATGATCGCGCCATCTGTTTGGACCTCTGACCACCTACCTATATGCTAGACATGTGGTCCTTTCTAATAATAATTGTCATAATAAAGACTGTAAAAGTTTTGAATGAAACTATTTGACATCATAGAAAGGCTACTAAAGCCGGTATCATGCTTAGGTATCATTCTTCTGTTCTGTATGAAGGGGCTTCTATGTATCTTTCGTTTTGACTCTAGACTTTGCGGAACTTTAAGGTTCTGAAGTGATTGGACAAATGTTAGGCCTATTGTTATTTCTTCATAAATCTGTGTTATTCGTTATACTAACGAACAGGCCTCTAAATTTTGAACTATTGTTATTTAGAAATTAAACAACAATAGTTTGGTATGTGTCTGTACCCCTGTCAAGTTGGAATCGGTGGTTTTTGGATAAGCAACACGGTCTACAATGTAAACCACCGCAACTTTAACAAGCAACGATACAAGCATTTTAGACGGTATTTCAGCATGCAAAGGGTCTTTCAGCTGAGTAAATTCTTTTACATAGACGTGATGTTGCAAGTGTAGCGTGTCTTCCCATATATACCTTTTAGCACAACTCATACTCCTCATATTCACATTTCATAAAACCACAAGTCTAGATACATCCTTTGTCATAGACAAAACCTATTGATACTATTGAAAATTTTATTAAGGTTCTTCCACTTTTGCCAGTGGGAAAGTTCAGGATTTCCGAAATCCTGCTTGGAACCTGGTAATAACGTAAATTGTCGATTTCAGTAGCATTCGTTCTGCGTGAAAAAATTAAGCAATAATCAGCCTTCGCTCAAATTATGAAAACGAGTCCCTGTTTTTTAATCAAGATTAGTGCAAGTTTTAACTTAGAGAGAACAAGCGTTCTGCTGGTACCAAAAAATAGTTTGTCCTAATTTAGACGGAACATACATATAAGATGAAGCACTTAAGTAATTCTTTTGAGTTATTTATAATACTATATCTAAATATATATATTCAAAGTAGCGTTTTTTCATTCACCGCGATTAGGTTTTCAGTTCGGGATTTATTACTAGCCATTTTCAAAGTATTCCATCTTCGATCTGCAAATAATATTCATAATACTTTAACAGTATTATTAATTAATCAAATATTATTTTTACTAATAATATAATAATTGTGTGTCAAGCGATATGGATAGATGTAAACTCGTTAAAGTACGCTAAAAATACGTTATATGAAAAAAAAAATTATACTTCGGGCTGATAGTATGCCAAGGTCCCAAAAACGCGATGTCTCCATATGTCCCAAAAGCCCAAAACATGTTTAACAGTTGGGAACAGAGGACTAATAGTTAGGATAACCCAGTGGAGTGATATATTTTCAAAATAGCTTTCTATTCAATTCTAAAAAAATTTCTACACAGAAAAACACATGTATTTTTTTTTAATTTCGAGTTCTTTGAATCGAGAATCTTCTGCTCTTACAAAAAAATTTAGGGATTTGATCGTTTAAAATAAATGGAAATTTTTGATAAAAGTCATATTCCTAGGTTAAATTGTTTCTAGCTGTGTTAAAAATTAGTGTAGAGACAATGACAACACTAGATTTATTATAGTATTAACGAGAAATATGCTTATAGATAAAGCAATGGTATCAGAAAGGTAGTTATATATATATATATATATATATTGAGCATGGCATTTAAACTGGGGCAAACTTTGGTACAGTTTACCGTAACAAGTATTCGTTCATCCGCTACTCATGGTATCAGACAAACGCCAGGTCTTTCAGAACGGTCTCATAATGGACGATAGTGCGTAGTTTAAACGACACTACAACTGAAGACGAACTGCAACCGAAATGATTGCCCCATAGGCGTTACAGATAAGCATAACGTTACAGATAAGAATGAAAAGCAGGTTCCAGAACACCACAACGTAAAGACAGGGCGGACTTCAAAGTTAATCACTGTCGCATTTCTAGTGATCCGTCTGTCTCTATTATATAGTCAGCAAAATCACTGGATGTGAATGAGCTGAGATGTCACGAATTGTTCATGAATACCTCAGGTACAGCTTACCTATCGTAGAAGTCAGACTGATGCCTTTTGTGAACAACAAAATCAATGAACTGAACCGGTATCGTGTGCAACTTAATTTTTCTAGAATCACGCAGCAGGTCGTTTTGGATTTCTTCTGGCGACATACTTTTTACTTTCGATGGAAAAATTGCTTACTCACCATCAGGAGAATGCAATCCTTGTGGGTAGAAGCCATATTTTTTCGAAGCACGAACGCATCGCTGAAGAAACTTATTTGGACGTTCTACAAACGATCGAACAGCTGCGGATAGCTGAAGTGTCTGAAGGAAGATCAGATGTTTTCCATCAAAAATGATGCTTCGGATTATAGTAGCCGACTGGTGTAGGGCTGGCTACTTGAGAATACAGGTGTATTTCGGCCGTTAAACAGTCTAAATTCGAATTTTTTGGACCACTACGTATAAAGGGTTACTGAATAGAAGTCTTTCATGTCAATCTCGAGTGGAGACTTCAAGAAGTCTCCGCAGTCGAGCGCCAAATTTGTGCTATCTATAGGACGTTCACGGACTCGCACCGGCATCGTGCAAACATTCCTTCAGTCAGTTATGTCAGATTAAAGCTACAGATTGTGCTTAGATTGAAGAATAACACTTGTAGTACATATAAAAATGTTTGTCGAGGGATTTTCTTTACGTTTGAGAATCTCATTAGTCTCAATTTAGGTGCCTTTGCTTACTAATCCAACGACGTAAGCGAGAAACAAGATTCTAGCAACAGTAGTCTGCTATTTATAACTCGCGCAATGATTAGTGATTAGAGCTAAAATATTGTAGAACAAACGATGTGTTTTATGCTTATATTATGTGCATTCGTCACAGTAAATGCTGCATTAATCGATCCAACTGAATGCCGCCGTGCTAATTGAAGCTATTCCATAAAACATCCTCAAGTTGACACTGCATACCCGTCGATCTGTGAAACTTTTTGCTAGTTAGAACTTAGAAACGTTGTGCACCTAAAGAATTTGAATGCATTCCGGAAGCTTCCAGAGGTAGCAATTTAAATAATACAAACACCTAAGCTACTATAAACGAAAAAACAGTTATTTAATCGTAGTAATTTTTATTGCAAGTGTAGAGTAATCTGCTGGAGTTATTTATGATTGTCTAGCATATCTACACGACTCTGTCGTCGCTTTTTTAGCTCGTTCTGAACATCTGCGATTAACGCATCCTCGTTTTCGTAGCCATACAATTTCTCCTCGAGCCGGCAGTGGGCAAGGTCTCGAGCCACAAGGACAACTGCCACCTGGGTTCGGTCGCGACTGTCCTTGAATATCAAAGACAGCTAAAGCAACGGCCAACAGGAAGTGAAACAACAGTAAAAAACTTGAAAAGTTACAGTAGTAGTTATAGTAAAATAGTATGTAAAGCAATGGCAGTATCTAACCTAGAACTTGCAATAATTTATAGCATGGGTGACAAGGCTGAGATTATTGGGGCATACACGTTTGTACCTTCGAATATTCAAATGTCCTAAATATTTCTTTCAATACTTAGCTTTAACCTAGGTCGCCGCTCATCGCCGCTTCCACTGTTTTCAAACTCTTAGGGAAGTTTTCATTTGAGGTCTTACACATGTGCCAGTTCTGATTATAGCTAGCATCAAAACAGTGTTTTACCACGCCTGCAGTTATTATTATCTATCAAAGATAGAAGCTTGCTCAGTCTTTGTAACGATAAGACGTGAAGGTCAACGTACGTGGTCCTCGGGTGAATCTGCGCCACACCAGTCTTTTAAAATGTCTTGCACCTCAGACATGTTCTCGTAGAATAGTCTACGACTATACTCCTTCTCTATGCAAAGTACCATCTACAAACAACGTGTTGAGGGCGTAAAAGGACATCACACAAAAAAATCTTTAGTGAATGCAGCAACTATACAGAAAAACAACTATTATTGATTTACTATGGGAAGCCTAGAGCCAGTTTTCTTCCAGATTCTTTGCTAAGTTTATCTGATAAATCCAGTACGTGTTGTACTTACTGGAGAACCTTCACGCTGTGGTGCTGCATAATTCAATGTTTTATTGTGCTCGAATTCACATGATAGGCCCGCAATCGAACACACGTCACCTGATACCGCTAGCCTGCTGTACGTTTTCATAGCGGCCATAGTAATGCGTTGGCGAATTATCGTATCGTTACGCCTCATCCCACACATTGATGTACAATCGCCAAAACCAAGTTTTTCGACGCTCGTTTTTGACTCGAACTCCATCGCGCAGTAACGCATAAACAGCAGCACCTCTGAGCCCATCAGCCCATCGTAGTGCTATTGGCATACGGATACCGTTAGTCGACAATTGATTAAGTTAATTACACATGTTATCTTACAACTATGTGGACTTAGTTTTTCAATCAAAGTCAAATGCAATACAATAAAATCCGTTCGAATATCCCCACAAAAAAAGTTCATTAGGTTTTTAGTTCTAACACTTAGCTTACGATGTCGAGTCGTTATGGTATCTCATATGGAAAACAGTTAACAGTGCTGCTAATCATATGCAGCCCTGCGTACACTGTCATACTGAATATGACACAATCGTGTGCGCGTCCATTAGCAAAACAAATTAGAATAAACGCCGAAGGCCTGGAATCGTAGAGTCCTTCATTCCGTGTTTAGTGATGTTGTAATAATAGCGTTATTATATCTGCAATAACATGTTTAGGGGGATAGTCTTGTTTCAAAAAAAAAGTTCAAACATCCCTACACCACATTTAGCTCCACACTCACATAACGCCTGCATACCTCATCAAACATAGAGCTCCTCCTGCTAGCCAGATACAGGATTTTAAGACATTTGGCACAAATCAGGGGACAGTTCGGAGCATTGGCTTCATCGCGGATTCGGCGGTGAAGGTCTTCGATTTCGGCCCAGCTCACTAATGTAATATAAACGTGCATAAAGGATCCTTGGTCCTGCAAATCCGGCGCCTCCCTTTGGATCTTTCTCACGATGGCATCAGTAATTTTGACTGTTATAGGGGAGTCAGGGATCGGGTCGAACGCTGATGGATACATGGCTCTAGTCATTTCGAGGCACCTCATAAGATAAGGCGAGAAAATCCACGGCAATCCTTTAAACTCTGTCTTTGGATCTGTTGGTTTTGGATTGTACACGACAGCATAACATGCTGATGCCAAATATAGTTGCGTTTCAGTCCTTTTTTCTTCATTGTCTCTGTCAGTATCAGAGAGAGCGTTCTCCACGCACTTGTCAAAATCTTCGGTCATTCGTCGGCACAAATATGACCGCTAGAGAAAGTGTCAATTAGTTAGGTATATTACATTCAACCACTGATAGCCAAAAACCACCGAAAGGTCATTTGTCTAAAACTTATTTGCTCGTTCCGATGTCACTGCACTTAGTCAAATTATATGAGTTAGTTCTACAATCATGTAATACTTTTGCCTGGAAGCTTGAAAATAATATAGCTAAAAGAGGGACATGCACTCTATTTTAGGCAAGACAACGGGAACACTGAAAAATATCTGGGTGCTCCCGAAAGCAAACCAGACTGACCTTATATCTCGCAAATTTGTATTACGGTTCATAGAATACTTATTATTCAATACACACACTACCTTTGTGCAAGGCGAAGCAGAGTTATCAATTCTGAATGCCGCCAAATTTGAAACTAGGCTTACTTAGGCCTCCTTACATCGCCTATAGTTTCGTCTTATATGAAAGAAACCTAAAGCGCCTTTTGTATATAGCTGCCGAATAGACCGGAGCAACAAGCGAAGAAAATAAATATTAGAGGTAAATAAGCACCCATAAAAAATCGTGCCATTCTGCTGAAATGCAAACCTGTGCCGCAAGCTGTTCTTGCCGTTCTTCAACCTCGTGGAAGTTTTTACTTTGATACTTATCAAAGTGAGTGATGAGCCCAGTCATCAATTCAGGTTCTGAGACAATGCCAGCTTGTTCAAGAACTTTACGCAGCCGCTGATCGTACAGCATGACGAGTCGCCTGGCGGGTTCGGCCATCTTATCCCATCCGGGTAACAGAAAAAGCTCGTTCACATATTTATCATCACTTCCCATAGACGAGAGGTTGAAAGAGCCTTCCAGAACGCGACATGAACGGAATAAGTGTCCAAGGGCTCGATTAGATCTGTAGAAAAACGTCAAAGCCGAGAATAGAAGTTTAAGATTATACGAATATCTACATGCACAGGAATAGCAGGAATTTTAACATGATGTATTGTTTAAAGGGCAAACATCTGCTTCTTGTAAAACATGCTACCTAGAAGATGGACATAAAAAGGCATAATTTCCCACTTACCTGTACGTCTTTTTATGACTTTGTTTTTCCATGAAGTCAGGATAACGTTTCACAAAGTCTGACACTCCGCAATTATCTTTATGTCCGGTTTTTGCGAAATCTAGGCAAGTACTTAGCTTGCGAGCTAGTCTATCACACTTTTCGGAAAATATTCCTGCAAAAGTTTGACTAATATTTGTTAGATGTTTTGACTACTGGTCTAGTGTAATGAAACATACGGTCTAAGCTTGTTTGGATTACTTAATTCTTTACATGCTACGTATAATTTTTAGCGTATATATTTTATCTTTAAAAAATTATCAAAATTTGTGGAAGCTGCACAGTAAGCCTCATTGAGTGCGTAATACTTATCATTTAGAGAGTGGATCTTGACTACTTACCCTCAGGTTCCTGATCAGCACTAGCTAGATGAGCATTGCTAACTCGACCGACCTGATCGGTCATGATATAGTCACAAAAGAACTCATAGTAATCTTTTAAACTAATATTGTTTTTTTCTTTAGGGGGTTCATCAGAGAAGTTCATTGCGGGATGGTTATATAGCACTGCCCGACGGGATGTGCTTGGATTCTCCTCAGCACCGTTGCGACGATTTTTGCACTCCTCACACTGACACTTCACGTTGAAACCAATAACAAAAAGAGAGCACACTAAGTATCAACTACTTTGATCTAAAATGAGAAATGTAAAGAACCCTACATCTTACTCGGCAAAAACGAAGAAATTATTCCTATATGGTATATGTAGAAACTAACTGTCCGTTTTTCGCGTGAAACTTAGAAACAAAAAGGGAAGAAGTTACTTGTTACTGTGAGGCCCCAAGCGCTTCATTGATTCTCATCTATAGTCAATCAGATGAGTGCTAACCCTATAATAGATCATCTGCCATATGCTGTGTTATCTGCGAATCTCATGGAGGTTACCATTATTTATGAAAAATACTTGCCTTGAAAAAAAAACGTTCGTCCCAAATAACCGCGTACTCGTCACCGTCCAGATCGCTACCAGCCATTTCGTTCGAATGAGGGCGAGGCCCTTTAGCTGGAAACACTATTACGTCCTTTAGGTGGGCCAGTTGCGGCACGTCTATTGCGGTGAACATTCGCACGTCACCAGGAGCAACACACGGACATTTTGTCACCACAACTGGACCTTCGTACAGTCAAAGAACAACACCAATAACACAAAGTGAAAACAGCTATGCGCTAAAGATATTTTCTATATCGAAACAACAAATAAAATGATACTTTACTACAACGATACTTTATAGTCCTTACAAGGACAAATGGATAAGCATCTTGTGTAAACCTGAACCGAGCTCTCTACAGTAGTGGAATGTCAGTCGCTTATTAACCCCGTTTACCTGTTAGAACCTTTGTTGTGCCTTTTAATTTTGTTTCGGAATGTTCGTCGTCCTCTGCCACATTGTCCCTATTTCTTTTCGATGGATTGGCGCCTCTTTTGGTTATTCTATTATAATAATCCTCGTCCGAAACGTCTTCACGTACTGTATACTGGACATACACCTCTCCATATTCGAGAGTTCCTGTTTCATCCATTACGCCGAGCAAATTACGTCCTAACGTCCACGGAATAGCGATTCGTGACTTGCTCCGTAAATTTGCTACATTGTCATAATTAGAGTCGGAAGATGATTAATAACGAGCGAGAACAAGCATCAAAGAGTATTACCTAACATTTTGTGTAACATAAACAAAGTGTCCTGGTTACATCATTCGTAACAATTGAAATATAGAAGCAAGGCTTATTATTCGCTCGTTGACCAAATGGCTGCCTATTCGTTGACCGTAGAATGTAAGTATCTCTATAATTTACTAACACTTCTGCTATTAAATGCTTGTTAATGTAGGCATCGTTGTTAGCGTCTGCATGCTAATTTGCTGTAGTGAACTGAATCGTTCTACACGCAACTTGGTTGGTGGTATCTGTCGCAACTGTTTCTCTTATTATTCCTGAATTAGTAGTCTTATTGACCGTTATTTAGCAAAGCACAATAAAGGTATGAATATACATAAGGCCGGTGTGACCATTTATATTCTAGCCATTTCGAATATTTTCACGTTATGAATTCAATTTTTGTGGTTACTAAATGCTTGCCTTGAGAAACAGTCCTGCCTGATCTAAAACTAATATTCCAAAAAACTGTGACTCAAAAAAAAAAGCAAAAAGTTCAGATGTTACTGCTTACATAAAATGCTATTGTACAACGTAAGCAGCATTGACCGGAAATATGGATCCCTGATGATCGACATATGGTTATCTCGAAAGTCACGGAAGTTTAACGCAAATGCGTCCTCTTGATCGTCTCTTATATATGACTGGAGCCGTGCAGCTGCGGCTGACTCCATCAAAAGCGCATCCGTGAAGTCCAGAATATTGCGTTCCTGCATACACAATAACCATACAAAAACATAGTTTGGGACATCTCCATTTATCTCCTATTATTGTTTACGTTTGCCATCGCTCGAGCCGTAACGCTAGCCAGCTCTAGGGTTGTGTTGGCAATATTCTTTTCTGTCCTGTATATGCATTTTGTTGTAGCTACTTATTTTGCGTTAAAAGTAACTTGATGCGTAGATAATAGTAACCTTTCGTTTCTATAGAAAATAGAATGCCTTCTTCGAAATCTATAGACCTCAAAATCTGCATCGTCAAGTACTATGAAGTGCATTAATTGATTAGATCGCTGCGTGCGTTCATTTATTTCTAATAATTTAATACAATCCGATATTTTTAGTACTCCCTCACACCCCTAGTCGTTTCGACTGTTAACAGAGTATTTATACGAATATATGCTAGCCGGTAAGACCGTGGACTTCGAGAAACCAATCGATGAATGTTGGATTTACCTCCTCAGAAGGGCTATTAAGTAGCCTCTGTCTTTTGAAACAGAGGTCTCGTCCGTATACGATCAATGTTTGTTACATCTTTTGTTATATATTGTACCTTGCCAGCACGATACGACTTTGCGCTTTGTGCCGAAGCACTTATGAATTCCTCTTTCCCATATTATATCTCATTTTTGCGTTACGCATCTGACGTATACCTAATGCTAAGATACGAATTTCGTATCTTAGCATTAGGTATACGTCAGGTAGCTTTTTTTAGAAGATGAAGATATTAATACATACAGAAGCTAAGAAGATAAAGCTGCGGTCATGATTATGCAATCTCGTACTTCAATACACATAATATTAACTTTATTTAATAAAATTGTTGTTGATTACTTTATTTAATAAAGTAATCAACAACAATGACAACCAGACTCAAGAGAGCGCACACATGTTATTTCTACATACCTGATAGTGCAAGAATACGTTAGTTTTAACACCCATCTGTTCGAGGATTGTAATTATCTGACGATTCAAGGTGACGTTCCCTGAAAAAAAATGTTAAACGATTTTAAAAAGGTATGGCGGACCTAAAGTTCCGGTAACCCAGCAGTAGCTGCTATATTTGCTATATCGCGTTTTAGCACTTCTTGTTTTTGCTGTATGATCTCTTACGAATAGTTGCTTTTCAGCGTAATGACGAGTATTTACAACAGTAACTTGCACTCGGTTGGTACTATTTTGCAATATAAAATCCCTTCGTCCCACGCTAGCCAAGCCAAGGGCGAACATCGAGGTGGTCAGAATAATAAAGGACATTTAGGCCTTTGAATTTTAATATTAAAGTTTCGAAATGTAATAGTTTCGAATGGGAAACTATTTGTTCATCGCATCAGTCGGAAACTTTGAAGACTAAACTATTTAACCGACCTGGCAGAAAAATGAATGGTCGTTTTTTCTTGCAGGCAGGCAGGCACAAAGCAAAGGAAAATGGACTTACGCTCTTCAGAAACCTTAATAACTTCAAACGAATCAGAAGTATCACATTCAAATTTGACCATCGATTTTCGAAGAACAAGCCGGCGACCCTTCAGGTTCGGGTCCACAGCAACCATTCCCTTGGCCCCACGGTATCGAATCTAATAGCGGTCAACGAGCAAATATAAATATTAGTTATATTGTGGGATAACACATGTGTGCTTGACGAGACAAATTTCAGATTTATTTTTGCATATTGATTCGTAATATACTACTTAACTAAATGTCGTTTTGTTTATATTATGATTTTGTTTTTTCGTAGCTTTAATCTAGCAAGCTTCGTGAGTACAAGCTCACTTGTCTCGACAAATCGATATGGATCTAACAGATATTGACTAAGCGCGAAGTGCACAACTTTACAATGATACATTTTATACTTGTTGGACAAACCTGAAAAGCGCAAGGTATTTTATTTTTAAGTGTGTCCTTAAGAGCATTACAGACATCGTCTCTTAGCTCGGGTGAAATTTTCCCAACTCCGTCGCTGAATGTATATGGCTTACGGCTCGATTCATGCATTCCTCCTGCAACCACCCATAATTATATTCGCTTCTTTATATATTTTTTTATCACAATTAGGGTTCGTATTCTTATTTCTTTGATTTAAAAATCCTGTTATTGACAAATGGACCAGAGAAGATCGCAAGGACACTGTGATAGTAAAAGGACAAAAGGAGCGCTAGATTGCTTATGTAAGGCTACTAATTAGTCTCAATTAATTTGTCTTGACATATTGATTTATTTTCATATAACTCAATTTGATTTTGGTGAGACATTCGTTAGATTTTGGCAAAACCGATTCCATAACCTAAGATAAAGTTCAACGAAATGTAACAAAATGTACCTTTAATGTCGTCTATGATTTCCAGTTCGTCGTTAGAAACCTTAACTGTTTCTGTTGTACTTGAAAAGCATTGGCCTTCGCGAGCCATCTTCTTTCCAACATATTTGATGTTATCAAAATTTCCCATCGATTTACGAATCGTATGTGCTGTTCGACCCTTGGATAAGAAAAAAATAATCATTTAGGCGCTAACCTATTTACCTAAGTTCAGACAACACATCTTAACCTTTCGGTCGCGGTTACAATTAATAGCAACTATTTAGTCTAAAAACCAATTAAAAGTTTTTCCACTTGAACGATATTTTCATTATATAGATATAAGATTTTATTCTTCTTTCTCATTGGCCTCTAATATGGCAACTATGACAAAATATTTTACGTCTCTACGATGTAAGTTTACGATTAACTGTTAATTGATTTCAACGCAGCGACCTGGAGTCCCTTAAGTCTAACAAATGCCAAGCAGTTGCAAAATCCACATATATATATATATATAAACAACTGTTATTTAGTTGCCCTTTTATAGTAAAGTAAAATTGACTTCATGATAATTATGGTGTTTTTGAAGATTCTCGTTGAATTATATACTTCGCTGTCTTCCGAGTACATCCAACAACCGTGCTCTCTGAGCTGCGATGAAGAGGCCGCCAGGTACTCGTAAGTGCGCCCTACGAGTCTAACGCCCTCCTCCAAGAAGAAGTATACCGTCTGCCTGAGGAACTCTCTGCCGAAAGGCCCAACACAACCGTGCGTTAAGGGACATTGATCGTCATCGAGGAACGCCACTCTCAACATCCTGTCAGGATCGACTTCCCTCAAGATGCGGTTGTCACCATGCTCGGCAGGAGGGCGAAGTATTGTCCTTGATGGAGTAACGTAGACCCTGTTAAAGTGAGTTAAACCTTTGAGTATCACGTTTAAAATCATGTGAATATTATGTTATCCCATCGTGGACATATTGAATAAACATCTACCGATCTTGTGATATCTTAGCAAGGCTCTTATATAAGCAGATCCCATCAGTACGAAAGCTTTCTCGTTCTTTTTTAATTAAGAATCAGGTATTGAATAATCAACCAGTGTTTATCATCTCGAAATAAAACATTGCTGTAACTACCGTTTAAATGAATTTAGTGCACTAAGCGACGTCTCCAATATATTTGAAGTATCATGAAATTTAAATAAGTTGTAAAGGAAGGCTTACCAATAGCCTAAGTCGAGACCAGTTAAGAAAGCGAATCAGTAAGTGTGTGTGTGAAATAAGATTCAGGGACCAATATAGCTGGTGCAATGGCAGGACAGAGGCCGTAATTCCTCTTACAAGCATTTGGGCATAATGTAAGTAGCATTGAACGCACTTGCTGCAGGTTCCATCAAACTGTATAATGCATTTTGATTCGCCGCTCCGTATCATTCTATTGCTTGCTGATGTACAGTTCTCATATAAAGCAATATCCTTAAAACTTAGTTAGTGCCTTATTCTAATTTTTTACTCCTGTAACAATAATAACTGATATTTTCGCACGAGAGTATGTTATAGTTTGTCGCACTTATTAAAGACTACTATTAGATGAAGAGAAAATACTTCGTAAGCATAAGGAGGGCGCGTAAAACCTAATGCACTTGTAAACCCATTTAATGCACTTTGCAGAAAAATGCGTACAAAAGGCGCATTTTTGGTCGAAAAGCGTACTTTTATAGTACTTACTTGTATACAACCCGCATGCCTTTTACGAGCGGCTCGTCCTTTACATGGTCAATCCCTTTCTCTTTCTCCAGGCGATCCTGCCTGTGAAGCTTGTTCAGCACATCATTTACTGCCCGGCGATATATTATCACGTTACCCTCATCTATAGCCTGCGTTATTTCGAACATTGCTCTCTCAAACATTTTTCCATCTTTGTGCGCTTGCGCTTCTAGCTGAGAGCAAAACTCCTTCATCTCATCACTGCAGTACGACAGAGGAAAAATAACAAAGACAAAAATTGCATTTATTCATAGTTTTCACTTTGACAGGAAGCACGTGTTTTATGATGATAGATTCCCAATTGCATAGGTAACTTAACATTTATCAGGGCATAGTACGACCAATAAGATCAATATAAAAAACAAACGCTCACTTGCTCATGATCGCCATCTGACGGCAAAGATCAAGTGAGATAAGTCTACAGGAATCAATCGCGTATGCTGCACGAAATGGAATACGCGGGTATAGATCATCAGTCAAATGCCCCCGAACCTGAAAGCGATCCTAGATTTATTAACCGTGTTTAATTATTCACTATTTCTTAATCGCCTATTTCACGCTTTACTAATGATTTTTCGCGGAGAAACATTTTGATACAAATTAATGTATACACAAGCGCTAAGATTTCCGTAAGACTAAACAAATCCGCACGTACCGAGACACAGTGCCATCTTCTTACTGTGATATATGGTGGATAATGTAATGTAAGACACTTAAGCGTCACCCAAGGCGCAATCAAACTTATCAAAGCAGGAATCACAGAGCTGCAATATTCTTCTTGATATTACAGTATCGCTGTTCAGCCCACGTTTGCGAATTGCATAAATATAGAGAGAGTCATAATACTAGAACAACATAGTATTATCACGATTTCCAGATACGTTTCAGTAAAAATCTATATGAATTGAACTAAATTAATCCGGCACATCTTGCAGAAGTGTAATCGGCAATATTTAGCCATTTCTTTAAATATGATTAACAATTTGGTAACGATCTAGTTAAAGATCGAAGCCTCTAACTTACGACAAAGTTTCGCCCATCCAGCCAAAAAAATAAAATTTTATTTAGAAAAACACATTAAGTTCGAAATGATCTCCCATACTGCAGCTGCTTGTAAAGGGGAGTTACGATTAATTATCTTATCGGGATCTTAGCGGGAAAATCCGATGTCGAATAAAATCGGATTACCTTTGTTGTGGTACGTAAGTTTTAGGAACACACGCATTAAATGAGGCCACGTAACGCTAAGCACAAACATTTAAAACATAAGGTTTTGAGAAGAAGGAATTATTGCATTGATTAGTTAAATTCTCACGGTATAATTGCGTTATTAATAATAAGAGAAAGAATAATTTCAGACACGCAACAAAGCGACAATGTTTGTGTACGCCAGGATTCGAACTCAGACCGGCACATGCTCGCAAATTTAGCAGGCACACACACTACCCACTGCGCTGTCACAGAATGATGCACAACATAGTTTGTACCCGTCAATCCTGATTTACTTTCAATTCTAGGATACGATTGGCATAGAAGTGAGTATACACAAAGCAGAAATAAATTTATTTAGGTTACTAACCGCTTTAATCTTATCGTTATGTGGGCGTTTAATACTGTTTACTTTAGCCACGAAATTCGTCGTTCTGTGGAGCCGGCTAAATAACCGATGCAACAAGCTCAATTGTTGGTCTGGGAGCCGCAACTTCAGAACGTTAGCACCACCTGAAAGAATGAAACTTGTACAATATGATTACAAAAAAAAAATAGGGGACCCTAAAGTGTGAATTTCAGAATAACAAATATATATTGATACAATCTAAAACAAATAGTGTCGATTTTCTCATCATAAAATGATAATTCGACGGTAATCTTATCTACAATAAAAAGCACATCATTAGATGCAATTGCTATTAAATCCGTTTTTAAAATGCCATAAGTATCAATAACAATGATTATTATTAATACAGACTATTAAAAACGTATTGCAAAAGTATTTAGCGATGCGCTTCACTCTACGTCCACTAGGTGCTAGAAATTAGTTACAGTAGGTACTATTAGAATATATCGCTTCGAAATACACCTACGGCCATACCATGGCATTGCATTGTCGGGAGAAAGCAGCATATTAGCATAACAGCTTTCAGATCAAATTCACAAGTTCCTAAAATCAATAATAAAAGTAGCAAATGATAATAATAACAAAAGTAGATGTACTAGTCATTTTCAGTTTTTGATAAGTTTACCTCGTAAGCATCCACTTCTCTAGCACCTAGAATTAATTACCAAGTCTACGCAGATTTGTAAATCCCATACTGCAGTTCCTATTCTTGCATCCCATATTATTGGTACGATACACTGATCGTGGGTCCCGTTCTCCATCATAAATGAAAAGAGCACCAGGATTGGTAAGTCTCATATAAATTTCGGTAGTATCTTGCAATTCGACGATGACGCGCGCAATTGATTTATATTTTATTTCCAATCGATATTTCCTAAATTGATCCAGGTTTTCTTCGCAGGAATGTTTGTGCGTTATGGCCAAGTTCAACTGTGAATGCGTATGATCGAACGTCGCCTATAGTACAACAATAAACAACCAAAATAAAAGTTACACGCTTTTCATCTAATAAAAAAAAATGGCATTTGAATTGTATTTGTGAGAGCTATTAAAAGCACCATCTGTTATTCATATATCGAATGCAGGTTTTGATAATCCTAGCGTGAAAATGATTGTTTATATATATGGATGCTACCTTACTTACACAATGCTTGTTCTAGTGATGGTGGTTTTCAATTATGTAATTACCAATATTTTCATTTATATTTTTTTCATTTCATAATAGATTCAAATATTTGTATAGAAAATTATTTACCTCTAGTTTAACGATGTTCTCGGGGATATATATCGTGCTACGTTTTGCTTTCACTGTGTATTCCGGACAAAAGGTCGAAAGGCCATCGATAATGCCAAATTGTGCCTTTTCAATATTTAAAGTCGTCCGTGTACGCCACTCAATTTTTCCATCGAAAATTGAAATGTCGCTTCCCCGATTGATCCAAGCCTCTATTGGAGGATCTTTGCACCATTCTGTGTACAAGCAGGGCAATGTATCTTCCATGTCCGTCTCAGAGGTAAATTCGAAGATCGCTTCAACGAACGGAACTTCATAAAGGAGTTTACTTTGCTTGCGACGCGTCAAACTACTCGAGATCCCACTATGAAGGTAGCGAAATTGCACAAATCGATACTGCGTCACATACTTCCACTGAGATTCAAGAAACCGTTCAACCTCCTTAACCTTAGCATTATATTCCGCATGTTGTTCTTCCACAGTACCATCGGTCGAGCAAGGAAAACTTACAACAAAAAGCGACTGCATCTTTCGTGTACGTCCACCTGCGGCAATATGATACCCAGAAACATCGTTAATGCTAAAACTTAAACAAAGTTTCGAATGTTTACTTCAAAGTTTTATAGTGTTATATATTGGTTTCTTACAGTGAGCGGGTCGTCTACGCTATCGATTGTGCTCCAAGTATTGTTAGTATGAAACTTCAGCCTTAACAAAAAGAACGAGAACAATGAATAACAACAGCGCTAACAATAATACCAACTGGATCAGCAGCATCCACATACCTACAACAAGCGCACTGGCATTCCATACCATTGGTGAAGACAGCTTTTCTAAACGCAACCTTACCCAAAACGACTTCCTTTACTTTTTGTTTTTGCGTGCGACCTACGCATTTAGCCACAAATCGTTCTTTAGACGCAAGTGGCACTCTGTTGACTTGTCTTGGAGAAATAGAAGATCTGTTTGTGATGAATTCGCTTTGCACCGATAAAAGCATTACATCGTCATTATGGACGATCTTCATTTAAAAGGCGGCTGCAAACTCGAACATTATAATTTGACCGATTATGTTTTTTATAAATCACTGACACTCGCATTAGTACTAAGATTGTGAGGCTGGTTTCGCAGGTACTTCGTTGTCGAGATACGCGTTTATAGAATTAAAAGTTTACGCCTCTTCAATATCTCGAAAGCAGAGAGTTTAAGAAAAATAATTAAATTCAAGATTTTTATATTTATGAAGGTCACCTATCGATATCAATATATTTTCAGGTGTTTTCAGAATATTTATCAAAATAAGAAACCAGATGTGGCTTTAGAAATACAGTGGTAGTGCTTGATTAATGAGCAATCCATAAAAAATAAAGCAATAAAAAATGCATATTATAAGCTGTGAAAAGGCACCTGTGTGTGGACAAAGTTCTAAACTTTTCCCATGTCTTACCTAGTTTAACCTGATTATCGAAGCCAAAGGGACAAATTGGCTAAAACTGCCGATTCACAACGCGTAATGCGCTTCAATAAAAAAAAAAACTGTTTGTATTCAGCCATAGCTATCGGCTCATTACTCTATTATACATTTTAGCCCTAGTTCCTTATTGAGTTACCCATCACGCGAGCCAGGATACATGCTTGGAATTGCTCTAGGAGTGTTCGATGTCACGCTTCCAGTATATCGTTAGTGGCCAACGGCAGGTTTCTGGTAAAACGTTTGGTCAAGTAGAGGCGTACTCGGAGAGAAAAGCAGGAGAAGCAACGATGCCGGCCATGACTAATACGATTATGCAATGTTCCCACTCGCATGCCTTATCAATCTCGCTAGATCCCAAAAAAGATGGCACTCGCTCTTGCTTGTTATTTTTTCGTCGCCGTCCATCAGACTGGACTGCAATCGTACGCTTCTACGAATGAAATACTCTACAATTAATTATATCCACTAATCTTTGTTTTTAGCCATCATCAAGTAAGGCATCAACATTTGGGGTCGACCATAACGTAATGAATCCATTTGTGAAATCAAGTAAGGTTGGTTAAAAATATATTAATTAAATGAAAATAATTTTAATTTGTAATAAGCAGTTCATTCAATTACAATTAAAACGTGTAATTAGCCGCAGCACGTAATTTAAAAATTTTTCAATTCGATGCTATTATATTATGAAACTTACTTTTACCCTGTTGAGCCAAATTGGCAAATGCTCGATATTAACGCAACTAATTATATAGACAGTATCCTTATAGTAAAATGCAAAAAGTAAATACCAAGAATGGAAGTACTTAATTGTAACTTTTTTTCTATCTGATTTGCATTTAATCAGCGTAACCTCGCTTTTCCTTAAAAACTTTATATTATCAATTCTGATTTCACAAATGTAAGTCATAGGCATCTTATATAATTTTTTTGTGAATTTCTACAAAATACTTATATAATCACGATAGCACGATCAAAGCACGGCTTCATTCATAAGTGAATTTGCTACTGATAAAGCAAAACAGTTAAACATCAGTGGATTTCTGTCTTCAAACTTCGAATTCTACAATTCACCGGTTGTGTCTTGCTCATATCATTTGGTTTGCATTACGTGACCGAACTGAAGATCTTACTAACCCAATAAAAACTAACAAAATTAACACGTTCAGAAATGACTGTTTATGGACACGGAGCGGAATGGTCCCTGTCCGAATAAGTAGGTTGGATGAGTCAGTGCCTGCGAACAACAGAAAGTGGGATTAGTAAAAACTCACTACAGGCGTTGCCCTTTCAAGTCTGCAATCACGTGCTTTCATTTGAAGCCTTGATTAAGTCAGTTAGGTAACCGTCAGTCTCAATTTCGTTTGCATAAAGATAATCATAATATAAACGTCTGTTAGATAGAATAGAAGTTTTAAACTATATAGATTTGTTTTAGAAAACTTCGTGTCGGTGTCTGTCTTGGCATGTTTCGGAACTTAAACCAGCTTAGTAAGCGATCCTAGGCTTAGCAAGCAAATAGGTGAAAACTGCGTCAGCACGGGGATGCATTTATCAATACATCTGTATTAGAGCTTAGTGTAAAGAGGAAATACAGAAGGCAAAAAGCCTACATGTTTTTTTGGTTCCGTCAGTTAATTTGTAAATGGTGCATGTACACAATTGAACGAGGTACCAACTTGAAAACGGTGATGAAAACGCTACGAATGCAAGATAGATCTTATCATGCGAATCAAACAATTCAGTTGATATGAATTGTAAATCTTACCACAATCAGAAATATATAGTCGAAAAGGAGGTTGTCTAAACGTACAGTTTTCAACATTTTCACTTAAAAACAACACTTGTGAGCGAACAACACAAATAATCTTTACACAGCAGCTTTGAACTGGCGAAACGCTATTTAATCAATGGCTTTTACTTTAGTCGGAAGCCATGTTGTAACTCTAGGAAGCTTACTGACATTAATCTGCGTTTCTCGGAAGGCATTCGTTAGATCTTCTAAAACATACCAAAAACATTTAGAGCGTACCCGGTAGGAAACACGATGACTCAAAAAGATCGCAAATTCCATTAACAAAACTCTGCCTAATTAAATTGATTCACAGTTAGCCCTAATCGCTTACTCTGAGCTGGCAACAATTTTCTCACAACTGCCTGATTTTTTTCAACTACTCGCAATTGACCACGGGCGAGACTGACCAGTGTCTGACTGAGCGAGCTGCGCTGTTCACCTGATGAGGGCACTTCAACGTTGTCGATCTCTGCCTTTCTAGAAATGCAAGTTGTTCAGCACTGATGATTGTTCTGCCAGCCCTAATTCATACAAATGTATGCCATCAAACATGAAGAGACGTTTTGCGTTCCGTCAGCGGCTGCTGCCTAGATGCACTAACAGTTTGTTGGATTTAGGTTTCAAAAGAAAATTTCTCACAGAACATATGTGCGAAATCCTACCATAGATCACATATATCTACAAGTGTTTTAGTGCCATACCTGGATTAGTTTATTTCGCTCGGCTATATAAACGGCTTTCTTTACCAATTACAACTGCTTAAATAAACGTCGGCTTATTATTCGATTATTTTTAGTGTATATATGATAGTGTCTGAAGGTTATGCGCCCAATATAAGAGCAGATGTGTAAGATATGCATTAATCTGAGTAGTTCGTTCTCTACACGACATGAAATCATTTGCTCCAAAATTTCGAAATTGTTCCCCGTCGCTTCGAACGAATATCCCCAGAACATGTTTTTGTATGGCAATGTAAGCCAGGAAAAGGCTATACCAGAACATATTTTGGCAGTGTCGGCGTTTTTTTCTCTTTTAGTGCCGCTACGATCGACGGTTCGACGCTTTCCCTAAGGGCTGTGATTTCGTCCAGTGAGATAGTCAAAATGGCCACATTAGTGAGAGATGTTTTAGCGTTACTAGAGAAGAAAGGCGAACTCACCTCGACACAATGCGCTGAACTTCTCAGTCAGGATCACCAAAAGATTATTGGTGCTATAAAATCGATTCTTTCTTTTCCAGAGGTAAGCACAGCTGTCTGACTGTGTTGACTGTCTAAAATGTCTCATATAGTATGTATTCCGTAGCTACGACAAGGGCTGCTTATGTTGAAGGGTGCAGATGAAGAAATCAAATAACTCAGGTGATGATAACATCGTAACTTAAAAAAAAAAACGGATTTCTGTTGCAATAACTGACAAAAGCTCATGTATGGTTGATAGAGCAGCATAGTTCATCTGGCCAGTTTAGTGTGTCCCTGAGAACAGCGGAGTAACTAATACAGCCTCTAATCTAGGCGATAATGCCAAGGAAAAGAATGCCTAATGCATCTATACACATATA